TATATATATATATATACAACCTGTTGTCCGTAAATTTCACAACCTTTCAAATTCATTCATTGTGGCCAACACTAGTTTGAATGCAACAACTAAGTAAATCATCCTCATCTGTGTCCGTTCATTTATATTATCCTAGCACAACAAAGAAGCGTTAACTAAGCATTGAAAAAAAGGTAGACCGTGAAAATCGCTAATCCCACCTACCTGGCTGTTCTTTGACAATGGAGACCACATTTTCGAAGACAGCATAGCAAATATTGAGCAGATCGGCTTTTTCAGTTTTCTGGTACTGTTTTGGCTGTAAAAAAGTGCAAGCGTTAGTGAATGACTTATAAATAACGGTGATGTCGATCCTGCGAGCGATTTCCTTAGCAAACGGCCAAATCATGCGTTTATAATGTAACAATACAACTTACATCTTCCCCGATGAGATCCATTGCCAGGTTGTGGAGAGCATTCATTTTATCTGTTATGCAAGCCCGTCTTCGTCTCTCCATGTTCTGCTTTTTAAGCTGTAAACAGGAATCCACGGGATAAAATGTCAAATTCAACAGCGGCACTGCGTAATAGATTGTGCTGTTCATTCTTCACATAATCGGATAGAGAATGAACTCTGGGCAGAACAATATAAAGTAAAATCCACCCTTCACAAAAGGTTCTGATCGCGAAACTAGGTTGTTGGCTGTTTAATCGGACTCATCTCCTTCCTCAAAGTTGCTCATCCAGTAGGCTTCATTTGCTCGCTTATTTTACACGTGTGGGTGTGTGGGTGTAACACACTCGATCTCAAAGCATCCTTGTGAGAAACAGGACACGTATCACCTTTGACAATTAATCTACGGAAGTTTATCTACTCATCTGTGTACTTCAACCTGAATAGCCTCGCTACTGCTTATGATTTTGGACTAAATTTACTGACAGTTTATGAACAAGCCAAAAAATTCCAGCAGCTGGTTCAGTATGAAGAGGCACCACTCAAGATCCGTAGCAGTTGCAATTCCAATTAAAACAATGAGCCACCGGTTTTTGTGGATGGTCCAAGTAGGTGGTCACATATGCAAATTGATCAAAAACTGAGTAGCCCATGTTGTTCACATAGACGAAAATAGAGAAAATGACCGTGGAACAGTTCTGTTTGGGTGAATATTATTTGAATTCAATGAGTTTCCGAAACAAAGCTAGTGGTGGGGTAAAATGGTAGCAAAGTGATCATACACTTGTGTAAACTGAGACAGCCTCACCTGATAATGCTCCTTTTTGATCTGACCTACCGATGTTATCTAGAAAACCTGACCAACAGTTGATGCGCGGTGCTGCAGACGCCATGCTGATTTGCACATTCTCAACTGTTGTACCGTACACCATCTCTCTAACAGCAAGACTAACGTTTAGCTTGGATCCCTAGTAATGTCGTTAAAATATCGTGAATGGAATGTCCCTACGCTGACAGACTGCATTCAACATGGAACTTAAATACAGTCAATGAACATAACTTACTCGCCTGATTTGTTCTCGCTGTTCTGGTGGAACCGTGGAACGGCGACCACGTCTGGAGAATCGCACCACTGCATGTGGTTCGGTTTGTTCTCCATGTGCAACACTTGCTTTCTGATTCACTCTCGGTTGCAACGGAGCGGACGACATAGCTAAACTTTTGTTGGCCATCTTGTGCTCTTTCGCGGATGTTACGCTATTTATAGATCGGGAGGTCAAACCAATGACTATGCAGCTTAAGAGACGCGCGCCAATGAATCACGTGGGTGGAGCAATCTACCAATCAGTGGACAGATGCCTTGATTCGCACGCAGCTGAGCAGATGCAGCAAGGGGGGCATGCATGTGTCGGGTAACCGCTGTCACCAGGACACGTGCAGTGCGGCAGCCTCTCGTACACACACCCTATGCTGGCTGTATGCAAATCCCAACAAGGATGACCAATCCCGCTCACAATCTCTCTTCCGTCTGCTGTGCGGTGATCGGTAGCGGATGCACCGTAGGGTGAACGTCTTTGCGGATGAGCACTGTTCAAGTGGCATGTTGTGAACAACAGCGCTACAGAGGTTCATTCATGATGTATAATCATCTGATTTTTTATTTGGTTGCTAAACTTTTATGTGCTCCAAGTTGCACTACAACAGCCCTGAGGAGTTTACAACTGCTCCCCTGAACCTGACACCTTGTCTTGCAACCTCAAAACTTTGATGAAGTAATGTACATTACCCTGAGAAAAGGATACACATAGGTAGTTGAACATTATGAAACCAGTTTCAAAATTAAGACAGTCACCTCTTATGTTAAAGACCTAGAAGAAGTAGACGAGACAGTTCATTTGCGCCACAGAAGAGCGTGCCATTTTGCATACTCTGGACAGTTTCCATATCTGAGATGTAATGTTGTAGTCAGGGCGTTTTTTTAATGGAGATCAGGACATTTGTACTGCTCCTTCTTCGTTCGACTTCTCAGAGAATGTGAGACATGAAGCGAAAGAACCGAGAGGAAAAGTCAGGACGAGTAGGGCCGGCAACTAAAAAAACTATAGTTCTGCATGGCGTACCGGACTCTATTCGAACTCCCTGCTGAATCTTTTGGGCACTTAAGTAGGTAGGTAGTTGTCAAACAGAGCAAACGGATTCTGCCTAGGGCGCAGTTCAGAACATCTATTATAGTAGGGAGAAGAAGTTCAAATTAACCAGCTTGGAATGCGGTGATTCTGTTTAAGAAACGAAAACCAGATGCACGAGCTTGGCAGACAGCCGTCTTCATCGACTGGAAAAGTAGTTTCACCTGAAATCTGAATCAAGTTCGATTGGCGATTAACGGATAAAGTGGAAAATCTTGGCTTCTCACCCTTGCACCAGATCACAGAAAGCGAGGGCTTGGACTTCCCTGAATACCGTTTGGTTGGCACTCAGCGATCTGGCGGAGTGAGTTGGGCATCAGACTTATTCAAACAAACCGAAATCACTACTGCATCAATGCGGCAGTCAACCACAATGAGTATTGTCTAAATTCATATTTCCCAATACGTTCTGAAGTGATTATTTTGGAACCCAAGACCAAAAAATGCAGAGACTACTTGTTTTGTCTAAGGACATCACTATAAAATAAAACGGAGTCACAAACTGTTTCCTCATGTACAGATGAGGAGAGTTATTTGCAGTCAAGTAGTTATTTAAATACTGCTAAATTCGTTGCGTAAGTAACATATCTCGCTCGAAGTCAGTGTCAGTGTTACGCTTATCACTTAACGTTTATGAGATAATGTCAGCTCATTCCTCCTCCCAGTACAGCTTCGTCGAGGATGAACTAACCGGACAGGTGCGTTTGTCCAGTTAATCCAGGTTGATTCTCCTCTCAGCCTAAAGAGGCTTCGAATCTACTAAAATCGCGGCTATAATGGTATGTGTTCTGTCTAATTCCTCCGAAACAACCGCTAAAATTTCATTCTATGACAGCTAACCCTGCTGTTCGGAAAACCTTCGAGATGTTAAGTCTTCGACGCATCTGAAGGCTCCGTCAAATGATGACAGGAAAGCTTTCTGCCTGACATATCACTGTATTCATACAATGCCCGAAACTGTTAACCGTTACCTAGGGACATGGAAACCGTAGGGAGATCAACAATTATAAAGTTGTTACGGGGTAACTTGAGATAAGGCGGAAAATTCCCATTGCTGATGCCTATAATCTTCAGCAAGCCTTCGGTCGGCTCCTCCAAGGTGCTTGTACCGAAGACCTGGAGGTCAGCACTTCGAAACTCAAGGCTTTTCTCTATCCTCATCCAGCCGTGAATGATAAAGTATGGTCAACGAATTGACCAAGAATGGAGCACGTGAGTATGAACCTCTCGATTCCGAAATGAGAAGCTATGAAGGAGTTATCACTAGCTTCGGCAACAGAAGCATCCATTGCGATGCAAAAAAGAAATCATGCTATGGATCGATCAACCAATAGGCCATACGACCCACTGTTCATTAGTTTTGTGGCACGGGGCTGATATGCGCTTCAAACACTCACAAAAAGGATATTTTAAATGTGCCTCGGCTCCGTAGATCACAACGCTATCTACATTCTGCCCAGCAGATTACCCTTTCTACAGCAACATTCAGCTTAATTAGCTGCATTAGTAGCTACACCAACGGCCTGGAAAGATTCTTCGCAACTCACATAGGGGAATGACCAGCGCAATCATTGCCCCGTGATTGGCGTACTTGTCAGTGCAAACTGGATGTTCGCTGTTTAGCTCGATATGGATATTCCGGCCGTCTTAGAACATGATCTGTCTATATCGGAACCTGATAAAATTGCTATTTATCTTGTCGGTTCAACACTTTCAGGAAGTCAATGTGTGCTCATGTAGGTATTCAACGAAGATACGGCTGAAAGCGATCGAAGTGGACCTAGATAGCCTTTCTTTAGTTGTAAATGGTTGTGGGACGTGTAGAATTCGCATCCAGATCACTCGCATATTTGAACAGTCCTGCCTCGATACGATTCTTATACTTAATACCTATGCTGCTTTTCCTTGTGGTCTATATATACTCGGAAATCATCATGCTCCTGTTATTGAGGACCTTCCACTTGCTCTGTCCAGAGATGGTGGTGAATCCACCAGTAAGTGCCTGGCTGGCCTATTTGCATCTATCTGGGAGAACCAGACGGTCCTAGACAACTACAGTGAGTCGATAATACCTCCCACCTTCAGAAGGATTACTCGCACCAGAGGGTGTTTGGATCCTGTTGTATCAAGGCTTCTAGCGGGCCCATGGACATCAAGCGGGATTTCGATCGCTTAGAGCTACGTCAACCGAATCTTCTCACTACGTCAGGTGGACGACCCAAACGTTTGGTGTTCCTTGACTTTAAGGATGCGTTCGATTCTCTCGACCGGGCACAACTGTTAACCACACCTCAACAGGGTGTGCTTAGCTCTCCAAAGGCTCCCCTACAAAAAGTAGTGTCCGACGGGAATGTCCACACTATTCTTTTTCAACTTCATCACTGAACAAATAATGAGGTGAACCCTGGAAGATGTTCAGGACCTTGTTGTTCCAATCGCTGACGGTGGAAACCCTGTTGATCTGCAGTACGTAGGCGACATCGCCCCCATCTTCGAAGACGAGGGCGTAGTACAAGCTCTGCTGAATAAACTAACCACCATCATACTATCTTTCCGCATGCGCCTAGCATCTTCTAGTGCAAAATCAGGCTTCAGAACGTGCAGTTTCTACAGTTTCTGCAGCCTCTCTTACAATTTACCAAGAATCACTGGAGGTTGTAAAGAATTTTCCATACCTGGTTAGTTGCATTAGCTCCGACGGAAGTGTGTCTGATGAAGCCAGTGCATGAATATCGAAGGTCAGAATCACGTTTGCCAATTTGTCACTTGTGGCGTCGAAAAGGCATACAACTGGGTCTTAATACTATGCTGCAGTAAGATTTGTATGGTCGCGAAACATGGTCTCCCTGGATCGCCGGTGCCTCAGAAGCGTTGCCGGTGTCGGACGATGTCAGCGAGCTCCGACGTGTGTCTGATGAAGCCAGTGCATGAATATCGAAGGTCAGAATCACGTTTGCCAATTTGTCACTTGTGGCGTCGAAAAGGCATACAACTGGGTCTTAATACTATGCTGCAGTAAGATTTGTATGGTCGCGAAACATGGTCTCCCTGGATCGCCGGTGCCTCAGAAGCGTTGCCGGTGTCGGACGATGTCAGCGAATTCGTAACTATGAAAGTAGAAAATGGGTGTTTGGTTGTGCGATTGTGGCTCTAATCCCGAAAAACACTCAGTTCTTCCAACTTCGGTGGCTCGGTCATGTGCCGAAACATGCCGAAATACCGTCTAGCCTCGTCCAGACTGGGGGAATCCATGAGGTAGACAACTTATGACTTGGGAGAACAGTATGAAAGAGATTACGAAGGCTTTTGGTGTTATTGGTGTTGTGCGGCTTCAAGGATGTGGTCCCCCTGACCACGCTTGCGCTTAGCTGGAGACATTGCAAGAAGTGACGGTATGTTGTCGGTTTCTTTCCAAGTTTTTCCAGTGAGCACTTGGAAGTATAGGCACCTCAGAGTTCTGGCGGTAGACTAACAACAGGTCCCCCAACTCACCCAGGCTTTTCTCTTCAATCTTAGGATAAGGTATAATTAGATAGGCTTTGTGGTTGTATGGAAGTTTAGCATCATTGCCGGCAGTGATGTTTCTTTCACCAATGATGACAATTAATTTACAACAAAATGAGAAGGCAGTGGACTTGCACTTACTGAGCTCACCAACAGTGCACACCTTTTACGGTGCCGGGATATAAACCCCACTTATGACTGCGCTTAAAATATGCCGGAAGTTCAATTAAGGTTGTGGCAAACTGCTCAGTAATGATACCAGGAGTAGTTATGTTACCTCTTGCCTAGTCATAGAGGTAATGGACCACTTATTCGCGGCATTATCCATCCACTGGTCCTGCTGGCACATCACTCTGTTCGAAACGGTCCACAAATTGTGTTTAGTACTAGTTGGACATAGTTACGTACGCTTTTTTCGCATCAAATAAAAATCGCAATTTTGTCAGCTTTATAGAAAACAACTGTTATCTACACAAAGACGAAGTCAGATAGGACGTTAGGGACTGACGATCTGTGATACACTTTTGTGGAACTTCCTTATCTCTTTCTCTCTTTCTCTGCATTGCGTCAGCGCCTTACACAATGCCAGAACTAACATGCGTCGTCCGTTTTCGTTATCAGATAGGAAATCTTCACGCATTTTGAAGTAAACTAAGAAGTTGTTCGATTTCTCATATCAGATAGATCACTTTTAGCCGATGACACACTCGTCAGGCCTACAGGTGTGCTGAAAAAGATAGAGTGCGCCAGCTAACTCTTATCTGACTTCCTGATTACGGCTGTTCCACCCCTTCCAGTCTATACTGAACCATACAACACAATTCAGCTGTTGAGTCTCAGTTATCGGAATCTGAACCTCTGCAAAAAGCGTGTAAATCACTTAAGCATTTCCAACGGACGACCGATGGTATGAAAAAGACTTTAAATTACGTGAGTTTTCAGTCGTGCAAATTAAGGGAGACTACAGCCTACTGGCGGCGAGCTACAATGAGGCCGAACTGGGCGCAGCAGTAGTCGAACCGTATTCATGTTTGGAAGAGTTCGAAACTCAAGATCACTCTTACTTAAGTTACATGTTCCATAGTAGTTACTAGTTACAATCAGAGTTAAGACCATCAAATCAGACTCTGTCGCATTGATGACCGAAGCTGCACATAACAGCCTGTGCAATTGATAAACATCCTTTGAATCATTTTCAGTAATGAGGGCATGAAAGTATGAGTGGTAGGTCAGGTTTAAAAGCATGCCAAAGATGCGCATTAAAATCTTAAGTTTCTGGAGTTTATAAATGAGTTAGCAAACAGGTGCTAATATTTCATTTACTTCGTGGCAGCTGACGAAACTAAAGGGAATGTTGACACCAGTTATGTTTTTCTGCCCTCTTGGTGCTGATCCTCAACCAGTGTTAACAGCATATTGGTTCCCTTAACTAATCTAAGGACGTTGACGCATTCTGCAAATTTCAGCAGTCACGAGGTCGGTTACCACAATTTCATAAAAATACTACACGAAAGTCACAGCGAAAAGTTGCGGATTGAAAAACCTAGTTCAGAAATGAGAATCCGCAAAGATTGTTGTTTTACAGATGGCTTGTTAAAATAGCAGAGGTGTGTTTCTGATTAGCACCACAGACCAAATCTGAAGATGTTAACTGAGAACAAATATAATGGTGGCCGTAACACACTGCTCATAAAGTTGTTGAAAACACAGCCCACTGCCTGTTTCACTTTTCTTGCGGCTCCTCAGGTAGATGCAGTTCCCGAATTCCATCCAATTTAATGATCCACTTGAATCCAAATTGCACTAAATCGGACAAATACACTCATTTGTCTACCAATTTGGTTTTGACGGAAGGCTCGCCAGTTTATGATGTTTTCCTTCAAATGGAAAGTGAGGAGGCCCTTGGAGCACATTAGGTTAAAGATGAACAACAAACGAGCGATCCATCCGGGATTCAGCGCAGTCTGTTGTGGAAACTAAAATGGCACACAAATGAGTGTATTTGCTGAGTGGAAGCCTACTTTGAAAGGAAATCTGTAATTTGTGTCTTCTCAAGTTCACAGAAAGCGACATGTGTACTGTATCGACGTGCATCTGGTTACAAAATTGTGGGGTCATTCATATCTTTTGTTTTCATTCCTCTAGCAACCGAAAAAGTGGAGCTATTTTTGCGTAGAATGAGGAGGGCGTCGTCATCACAATGGACAGCATAACATCAGTGCTCAGCAAAATCACTTCGCTGCAGTACAACTATGATTTTTCAAAAGCCTTATTGTAAAGAAATATACGGAATTTGGTTAAGGAATAGACTTAGCGCTACTCTACCATAATCATCCTAGGGCGTCTACACCCCTAGACACCAATTCAAACAGTTCGGATAGAAACTGGTAACAAAAATGTCACTAGCATCGATTAGCAGCCATATCTTGCAGCGCACCCAGCCATGCACAGGAAGGCTGGAAGACAAGTCTTACTACCCATTGAACCTAGACGTTTCATGATTGTTTTCATACCCGTCTGTCAGGTCAAAGGTTAACCACCCATGTGCTTTCGCCACTGAATCAGGCATGAAAATCAGCAACATGTGACCAGACCACCTCAGCTCTGGGCGCTGGATACATTTGTTAGTTGAAGTTGCTGCTCCACACACGAGTACT